ATTCAGTATTGTGATCATGACATGTGGGTATCATTACACCCCTAGAAGTTACTAAAAGTATGACAGAAAAAAAACGCACAGCATTTTAATGTTTTTATTAATTTACTTCTAAAGGCCTGTTCACACCGGGATGAAATTCGCCGACGTTTAACGCCTTGTGGCATGCGTTTTTACATTTTTGAAAAAAGGCCTCAGGTTGTTGTTGTTGTTTGACGCGCCGCGACAAAAACTATCCGACCACTGAGATTGGCGCTTTTGCTCACGTCTTTGGAGATTCTGAAGTTACAGTAAAACACAACTTGGGGGCGCTCAAACACAAAACGGTCTTGCCAAGCACACATATGTAATGGCGAAGAAGATCTACGCCAAGTAGTGTCGCCGTCTAGTCTACACTGCCTGGAAGAAATAAGACGAGAAAGATGCAAGGCAAGATGAATGTAGAGCTGCTGTTCTCGTTGGTGCAAGAACATAAAGACAAATGCGAGAGCGACTACAAAAATCTTGATAAAGGAGAACTGTTATGGAGTGGTATTGCAGATTGGCGCCATCTAATGTCAGGGAATGAATTTTGCATGTTCACTCGACTCATCGCCAGCGGAAATCGCTTGGGCGTGAACACAAAAAACGCGTTGAAAAATGCTGCCGAATAACACGCGCCGATATTCGCCCCGGTGTGTACAGCCCTTAAGTAATTGAATGTTAACATTCATTTATTTACAGTCAGATTAATGAAGTAAAAGTAAAAAGCTCATAGTACAATGTTGAATTCGCTGATAAAGTTTCAAATAACTCTTTATTAAAGAATTATCAACTAACTGCCAATTTATGAGCACAATTTATTGAAAAATAGCCATGTTTGAAATCTCAATTATTACAGGATTAACTTTAACCACGGAGCTTAACGCTGGGTCATTTGGCCAATCCCAGTGCAATTTGATACTTTGGGGAAGTGTCACAAAGGTCAGTTTTTGTATGTATAAATCAGCCCCTCAGCAGTTACACAGGGTTTTCAGTTCTCATACTGCTGATGAGTTATAAGAGAAAAAAACGCAATAGTCGCAGACTGGGCACAATGCATGGTTGACACAAAAGGATTTGACTGAACCACAGGGGCCAGCTCACACATACTCCTCTTTTAGGGGATCAGGCAGGTTTAGCCCCACACACCTGCGGCATTCATCGCTGTTTGGCTCGACTCAGCGAAAACAAGATGGTCACGGAGTTTAGGCACAGATATCTGGACCAAGGACACTTGGATTTGGTTGGGGCAAGAGAGAGAGCACTACTGTGAATGTCAGCTGTTATGGTTCATTTCTTTCGTTTCGCATCCTCTGCGCTCTAAACGTGGAAGTCTATGCCGGAGACATTTTTAGAGAGGCATTAACAGCTGAGAAAGAGGGCGGCCCTTCCCATTTGTTTACAAGAATTAACTCCTGTAAGCAAATGCAGAGAACGCCGCAATCTAGCTGAGCTGGAGGCTTAATGCAGTGTGGAAGTGTTTGCTATGTAATGGAGCTTAGCACAAAGAACATTTCCACATCTCCTCTCTGCAAAACAAATATAGTCCCCGAAGACAAGCACACAATGTTTGAGCTGAATTAAAACACTGTGAAAATGATCATAGCTAATGTGCGATTAAAGTATTTACTGAGATAATGTCGGGGTCCTCTGTGGCGCAGTCTTTTAGTAGATGCCTTCATCTTGATCAAATCATCGAAGCCAATAAATTCACCCATTTAGCTTAGGACGAACTAGTGAAACAAACGTGATAAACAAGGACATTAGACAACCCTTTTGCCAATTGCTATACTACTGTAGTTTCAACTGCTAAACTCATTTTTACTAGGTTTTTTTAAGTTTTGAGTCATTAAATTGCTCTGATCACCAGATCAGTAACAGTATCAACCCCATACCAATTAACTGCATAATCTCTCTCATGTCGTACATGCATACAGATTTAAAAGTACTCTTTTTTGATGCATCTGTTGAGACATCTCACAGATATATTTTCTGTCTTGTAAGGATGCTAATTTGTGGAATTCCCAGTCTTTACTGTCATTTATGTTGAGCGAACGGCTGTTGGTTATGCAATGAGAATATTCTGCTGTTCTAAATTGGCTGAATGCATTCAGGATTAGCATTATGTTCAACGAGGTCTTTATCTCTGTGTTGAGATTGAGATTTGGTTGATTCTATGATATCCCGCAGCCTTTAGCCCATGGGTTTTTCAATATCCTGTAACCCTGTTCTCAGCCCTCCTGATCCAAGCTTGCATTGCTGTGATTCTACTTTCCCTAAATGCAACTTGTTAAAAAGCATGATTTCACCTTGCAGTGGGAAAAAAAAGAAGCAATTTTCCTCCTTTTCCTGAAATACACCCACCCCTGCCTTGTGCTGTTAAACTACTAACAATAGATTTACAAAAGAAAACTAATAATGGTGTTATTAGTTGTGAAGGTGGTGACGGTACAGTGTCCCTCCTCTGTTTGGCTTTGTGTTTGCTGATTATTTCAATCTTGATAGTGTGAGAGAATTTTTTCTGTTATTCCTTTTTATTGTTTATACATGTATACAAGTGTATACATGTATATCGTCTGGTTTTTCAGTCTTTATATATGTATTTATATTTATATGTGTATATTTAAATATGTTCTATATTGATTCCTGTTTAGTTTCTCTTTTTTCTTGATTAGCTTGATCAATATTTGAGACATTTATATACAAGTATTTATACAGATCATTTTTTTTTAAAAGACTCACCACTATCTACTCCAAACATTCAAAATCAGTTAAAATTGTAGTCATGATTTTTTTTACCCACTCCTAAATTGTTGAAATGTAAATCTGACATTAAAACTGCATGGGACAGAAGTTGCAGCTTAGGGTCAGTATGAGTGTCAGTCTTGAGTTCTCTATGATCTGGTAGATTGGGCATGTATATGCTCATTGTTTGTATATCCCCATCCCTTCCTTACAGCCCAAAGCTCTATTGCCGCCCGACCGCTTCGTACCGCCCTTACATGGACATGGCAACTGACGTACACGTTCACTTCCATCTATGTCATTTCCTACCTAGCCTGTTCATAGGCCCATCCCTTTCTTTCTTTCTTTCTTTCTTTCTTTCTTTCTTTCTTTCTTTCTTTCTTTCTTTCTTTCTTTCTTTCTTTCTTTCTTTCTTTCTTTCTCTCTCTCTTCTCTCTTCTCTCTCTCTCTCTCTCTCTCTCTCTCTCTCTCTCTCTCTCTCTCTCTCTCTCTCTCGCTTTCTCTCTCTATCGACCCTCCCTTTCTCCTCTTAGCAACAGTACAGTATGTACAGTCATTCTATTGTTTAAGAATTCATGTTAAAAAAAAAGAAAATATGTATCTGTAGATACTTCAAAGCTAAATTATCTTAAAAATGTACAGTTTTCTTTTGTAGAGAAAATGATTTATTTATCAAAAGAAAGAACAAATGAGCAGAATGGTGAAGTTATTTTTTCATGTCATGGTGTGAATGTATGTGTCGTTGCCTCCCTGTATCATCTTGTCTAAGAAAAAATATTATATATATAAAATTAGAGGATAAATTGATTGCCTAATTCAATTTTTAAAGATTAACCATACTTATTCCCAAGCATTCTTACACAACTTTCTTTTGTAAATTTTTTTCTTCCTGCCAAAATCATGCGGGCAATTTGTTGATGTAAGTCACAGAACTGTTGGTACTGTATGCTTCCACCTTTTGATGAATTGTTTAATAGGCTTATTATTATTTTTAGAATCATTTTCTTTTTATGTGCTTACTACTCTCTTTTTGACTCTGTGCATTTGGTTTGCGAATGTTTCTAGTGATTTGCTCTAACCATTAACCAGTTGTTTGCATTGCTTTTCATTTTTCTTTCCTTTTGTTTCTTTTGGTCTGTTGTTTGAGACCTGTGTTGCCTTATAGTGCCCTATGCTTTTCATTTTTCTTTCCTTTTGTTTCTTTTGGTCTGTTGTTTGAGACCTGTGTTGCCTTATAGTAATCAGCGATGCCACCTTGGTGTAAGTTTGAGCTGATTCAATCAACATCTGGATGCATCCCTTATAACAATAAAAAAATGGAAACCTCTTCTAGAAATCTTCAAGGCAACATTGGGCCTTATTCAGTAAATCATTAAAAAATCCATTAATCCTGTGTGCTGAATGCGTCTGTTTACTTAAGAATGGCTTTACTTTTTAACTTAAATGAAAAAAATGAGCATGAAGCCCAATGTTTTCAACAATTAAAATATCACCCTCAATGTGATTCGTGTGAACCAAACCTACAGTATGAGACGAAAGATTCAGGTGTTGTTGAACTGTCTCGCGACTTGTGCCATTGTGGCAATTTCATGAAAACTGTCAAAAGGCAATTGGCTTTCATCTCGAGTGTGACAGACTTGAAAGAGAAAAGTAATAAAGTGATTTTCTCCATGGTATTGATAAGCCGCTCAGAAAATTAGAAATCTCAATACAATAATGGTATTTTTTGGTAGTGTTCCATATATATTACGCTCTTCATTGGTCTTATGTTCGTTGATCCAACAGGATGCTTAGACGTAAATTTCCTAAATGAATTCACAACGTGAGCCGTCAGATCAGCTCAGCTTTTTACTTTCACCTCTCTACACTTCTCAAGATGTAGATGATGTTCACTAGTTTAACTTGTGTGTGACAGGGGCGCAGTAATTGTGAGTAATAGGTGTTATGTAGAGGTCAGTTAAATACGCCAAAAAAAGAAAGCTCAAGACCCTGCATGTCCCTACAAGCCTTTTGATAAATGTACCTGGCATTTTCATATTTCCGTTCTTTCTTTCTTGGTTTGTTTTAGCCAAGAGTGTTGTTGTTTTGTTTTTTTGTTTTTTGTTGTTTTTTTTGTTTTTTTGGTCATATTCCTTTCCAGATATTCTTGCTTTGCTTTAATTGGTCATGTTGCCTGTTTAGCAAGCAGCCGAACTTGAATGGACACTAATTTCCTTTCTTCTTCTTCTGCTTCCCAGGAGGGGAGTTAGTCATCCCCGTTCTAGTCGAGGATCCCATAGACATTCCCCCTGTTTCCACTCGAGCCCCTTTCATCCCCCTCCCCCCGACCCTTCACCCCGTCCTCACCATTATTAAGACCACCAAAGAGTCCCTGTCAATTGCCACCGAGGCGGGGGTACCTTGCTTGTCGCACCAAGGCAGCGATGATTGTGATGATGATGATGGTGATGATGATGATGGTGATGGCTTGGTGGTTTCGGGGTTTGGCTCTGGGGAGGCCTTCGACTCTAGCCTCCCCCCTACTGACGATGAAGATTTTTACACCACCTTCTCCCTGGTAACAGATAAGATCTTGACCACGTCGACTTACGAAGGTGGCTACAAAGCTCTCGCACCCAAGTGGGAAGTAAAGGACTTTAAACCTAGCAAGGCCTCTGAGGCGGGCAGGACTACGACCATCCCGCCTCTGCCTGACCTCAGGAGGCCGTCCCCCGCCACGCCCGAGGCCGCTCCTAAAATTCCCGCCGGGAAAATGAACAACCGTGAAATCAAACCCCAACCGGACATAGTGCTGCTCCCGCTCCCCACGTCTTTGGACATGGACGGCACCAAACCGAAGGGGCCGTACATCACGCAGCCCATGTTGCGCACCATCCCCAGCGCCCTGCCCACCGAGCCGGGTATCAGGAGAGTGCCCCCTGGTGCCTCGGAGGTAATACGCGAGTCCAGCAGCACCACAGGCATGGTGGTTGGGATCATCTCTGCTGCCGCCCTGTGCATCCTCATCCTTCTCTATGCCATGTACAAATACAGGAACAGGGACGAGGGCTCCTATCAGGTAGATGAAACACGGAACTACATTAGCAATTCAGCACAGAATAACGGCACGGTAGTGAAAGACAAACAGCCCGGCACCAAGAGTGCCAGCAACAAGAGACCCAAAGACAAGGACAAGGAATACTATGTATAAAACGAAATCCAAATGTCCAAAATACAGAGGGGAAAAAAAAAACTTGAACAGGAAACGGTGATTTTACACACAAAAAAAGTCCTTTAAAAACTCAGACTCATTGAGTCAAAATGAACCCATTTCCAAGCTCTGTGATCTGAAGCACACTTAAGCATACAGTAAGAGTATAGGGAGAAGGCAAATAGGACTCTGGGGACCTTGATACCTTATTTTCTGTCTGGTTGTGGGACAATGCCAGTGTAAAATATCTCATTGTTACATTGTTATCCCTCAAGTGACTTTCTAAGGTACAAAATACTTGGTGTAAAAAAAAAAAGACAAAAGGAGAAAAAAAAGCAACCCTTGTCCATTGTAACCCTGTACAAATCAACGCAGATCATGGGTAATGGTCATGATTTTGGGCATGCATGTGATGTGTGTGATGTAGTACTGATATCTTTGCAAAGAGGAGATCTAGAGGATGTTGTTTTGAAGATGCAAAGTGGGAAAATTTGCCATAAAACAGTACTTTTCTTACCCAAGCAGGAGAAGAAATGTTCCATTAAACAAATGGTGTTTCTTTCTATTTTTATGCTTTATTTTTTTTAGTATACTCATTTTTCCTTTTGTTTCTGGTTTTATTTCTCATCCCTTTCTCTTCCAGTGTCCGTCAAGTATTAACTTGCTTTAATATTCATATTCTGATTGAGCTCTGCCATGTATAAACAGATTCAACTGAAAAGCATCCATCTGTTACAAATGGAAAGCGAGACATTCTACATTAAATTTGGGATTCTCCTTTCAGTTTTGACTGCTTGAGTCATTTGCTACACACACGTCTCAAATATGGAGCAACTGTGAGCGAAGCAATCTGTTGTCTGAAGGAGGGCGGATTCAATGTGAATGAGTGTATATTTCATGTTGTCACAGTCAACTGTGTCAAACAATAAATATGTTTACATATTTTATTACATCATAGATGTGGTACTTTGTAGTTCATTATTGTACATAACAGTTGATTTTGACATTTTCATATGCTATCTGTACCAACTGAACAAACATTTAGTTTATTGTAGCTCATACTGGAAAGTCCAAAAGTCTGAGCCCACATTGAACATCTGTAAAACATTCAAAACGTAATATGAGCCTGGAAATTAGCAGAAGTACATGTATTGTAACAAGGTAATGGTGTGATGTACAATGAAGATCAATAAGATAATTTGTCCAGCTCCAAATCTACAATGGATCTGATTGCTTCCATTGATGTGCACAAATTGCGCTGGATAACATGGATCAGACGTGTGGAGTCCAAAGGGGACGTACCAAAAACCAAGACAATTAAAAACTCTTCATTTACTCCGACTTTTTACTCAAATTCCTTATGTATTTTATTATGACAAAACAGATGCAAAACAGACACATTTTAACTCTGTGGTCTCAGAGGTTTGGACCCCACCCTATACGCTTAATGTTATGAAAGATGCTCCTCTATCTCAATGGTGTAACTGAGAAGACGTCAACTGGTTGAAAACACCCTCCGCATTACCAAGGCTCCATGTTACTGGTTAATTGACAACTGGTTCTCTTTTTTTTTTTTTCTTCTTCTTTTTTTTTAAAGCCTACAAGAGCTCATAATAAAGGCGGATGATGGATTGGATTCATACTGCCACCACATTTCTGGAGTCCATGATTATTTGTTTTTTGTCTGTGTCTCATTCTGTGTATTTATGATTTTCACCATGTTGCGCTGTTGAGTTCTATAGGTTTGTTGCATTATGACATTTGTGTCGGCAATAGTGGAATTCCTCATCCTTTTTGCTCATGTATATTTATTCTTTTTTTCTTTTTGTTCAACACATCACAGGACTCAGATTTGTCTGCAGTCATTTAAATTTTGTGTTATTTTTTCAGTTCATCGGTTATTGTTTTCACTCTTGACAGCTATGTCCAGCAATAAAATGTTCCCAGTTGTTTTCAACGCTAGTGTGACATTTTCTGTTTCCTATCCCAAGTTTCTGGCATACCACTGGTTAGTGACATCGCAAATTACTTAACTTCAACAGAGGAGAGTTTAAAAGTAAATATTTAGCAGCCTTGTCATGAGCCAAAAGAAATTAAGAGATAATGTCAATGTGATTCCAAGTTTAAAAAAAAAAAAAAAATCTTGGAGTTAAGCAGTGACCGCCAACTCTCATAAAGCATTTCCAAGGACACAGCAGTGTGTGAGAATGTGTGTCTGTTTGAACATTTTTCAATAAACCTTTAATAAAAATCAAGCCATCTTTATTTATATAGCACTATATCCAAAAAAGCAGCTTTGAAGTTAACAGTGATAAACAGGAAAATAATTTAATGATACAAATTATTGTGCAACTGGGTTCAGTTCGGTGTTGATTCAGTTTTGTTGTAAAGATCACCAATTATTCAATTTGTTCATTTAATCTATAAAGCAGTTCTGCAGGAAAAAAAAATGTCATCGTCCACCTCAGTTCAGTTCTCAACCAATAGTGTAAGTGCAGTCAAATCAATAATATTGTTAAATATTAAGGGGCAGATTTAATAAACGGCAAATTGGCACAAGAGCGCAATTCCACAAAAGCACCGATGGGAGAGGAGTTGGGAGTTCTGTGTGTGATCTACTGACTCAAATTTGCAGAACACGGACACAGCCAGATTATTTCCATAATGACCAACACCATCAACCAAGAGCAGCGCAACTTAGTGTCTGGTTTAAGACATGCTTCTTTTGGGTGGTAAATGATGGCGCAAAAACCAGTCTTTGACTAGTGCAAACCTGGTAATGCTTCCTTTTACAATCCAGTTACCCATGTAAATACTATGTACTTATTTTAGTAACTACATTTACTGGGTAATAACTACAGTAGTACTAACCCTGAACCTACCTTGTTCCATGTACTTACCTTATATATATATATATATTAGCCAGTACTTTCTAGGTAAGTACATTCTTTTAACAATGTAACAAGTACATTGCAAGTAAGTACTGTACTGTAAAAGGAAGTGTAACCACAAACCTTAGTAAATCACCCTTGTGTGATTCATTTAAACACTCTCCTCCTGTAAAGTTTGCATCTGAAAGGGAATCTTCATATGCAATGAGGTCAGCCAAAATAATCTTTTCAGGGCAAATTTTTCTTTAGTAAATCCTGACAGTAATTTTTTTTTTTTTTTTTAACACCAAAAGAGGGTTTGTGCTGGGGCAAGCTGTTGATAAATCTGCCCCTCAGTGTCCCCAACTAAGCAAGCCAGAGGTCACAGTGGCAATGAACCCAAACTCCATCAGGTGACAGAATGAAAAAAAAAACCTTGGGAGAAACAAGAAACCAGGTCCAGTTCTCCTCTGGTCTATGAACGAACACAGTGTCATTGGGATTCAGGCTGCATCACAAGTCAGAAATCAGATTGTGGAGCATTCAAATATTTCATCCAGTTCCTTTTGCTTGGAGATGGGATTCGTCACTGTATGCGGATGAACCTGGTCATCTGTGCAGAGGACCTTGCGGTCTTTGCTGAGGATCAGGGCTGTCGATGAGGTTGACAGGATTTCTGCTGACATCTGATCTGGATATGGACCACATCCGGTAACTTCAGGCAGACTAATGTTGGTGTAGATGCCATTCTTTTAACAATGTAACAAGTACATTGGGTGTTACAGGAAGTGTTTGCGGTTTCAGTTTTATATAGATAAATTGCTGAAGAATTTATAAAGTCTAACAATCCTTTAAAGCGATAGTCCACTTTTTTTTTTTTTTTTTTTGGGGGGGGGGGGGGTCATTTTACAACTCCCCCAGAGTTAAACAGTTGGGTTTTACCGTTTTCCAATCCATTCAGCCGATTTTCTGATATTTAGAAGAATGTCAGTAACCAGACAGTTTCTGGTCTCATTGACTTCAATCTGGTTACTGACATTCTTCTAAATATCCAGTCCATTCTCACCCCCAAGGCGTCACCTAACTGACGCCTTGGGAAGGATTTGACCATGCTTCAATATCTGACGCTTTAGGCGCCCTTTAGCGTCATTTAGATGGCGCCGTAGAATCGCGTGTACCCTACCCCCACCCACACCTAAACCTAACTGCGTCCTCTAACTGACGCTTTCCTTTAGCGTCAGTTAGATGACACACCGTAGGATCGCGTCATGTAAGTGATTCAAGGTTAGTGGTCAAAAGTTTTGTATTGGACCATCATTTCTGATTCAATTATACCATTCACAATGAGTAGTAGTGAGTGAGTAATGAGTGTCATGAGTGATTAACCATAATTTATAACCATATCTTGTTCAATCATGTTCATGATTCTTAACTCTTTCCCCGCCAAACACGGAATTTTCCGTGTTTAATGAAAAAACGCATCTGCGCCAAACACGGAATTTTCCGGGTATCCGTGTTTTAGGTGGTATACGGTAAGGAAGACCCACGCGCATGTCCTGAATGAGTGCGCAACTCTTTGTTTAGAGAAACAGATTGCAATCGTCTCAAACAGTGGAGTAGTGAGAATGTATCAGACAGACAATGCAGAGGTATATGGCTGAAGTACTGGAGGTTAATGGACTCGGAGTCCGATCACTCTTTATTTGATAATTCTGAATCTGATCGGGACGAAGTAGTCAGTGAGAGAGATGCACATGTTCATGCTAGCCATGGACGTGCCGCAGATAGATCGTATAATATTATGACACTATAATATGTATGTGTGTGTGCAGGCATTTATGTGTGGCTGTCTAAATATGAAGGTGTAATTGTCAAATTATTTCTCTCTTTGTGCACATTTACCACATTGTAATATGTGTGTGTGTGTGTGTGTGTGTGTGTGTGTGTGTGTGTGTGTGTGTGTGTGTGTGTGTGTGTGTGTGTGTGTGTGTGTTGTGTGTGTGTGTGTGTGTGTGTGTGTGTGTGTGTGTGTGTGTGTGTGTGTGTGTGTGTGTGTGTGTGTGTGTGTGTGTGTGTGTGTGTGTGTGTGTGTGTGTGTGTGTGTGTGTGTGTGTGTGTGTGTTGTGTGTGTGTGTGTGTGTTGTGTGTGTGTGTGTGTGTGTGTGTGTGTGGTGTGTGTGTGTGTGTGTGTGTGTGTGTGTGTGTGTGTGTGTGTGTGTGTGTGTGTGTGTGTGTGTGTGTTGTGTGTGTGTGGTGTGTGTGTGTGTGTGTGTGTGTGTGTGTGTGTGTGTGTGTGTGTGTGTGTGTGTGTGTGTGTGTGTGGTGTGTGTGTGTGTGTGTGTGTGTGTGTGTGTGTGTGTGTGTGTGTGTGTGTGTGTGTGTGTGTGTGTGTGTGTGTGTGTGTGTGTGTGTGTGTGTGTGTTGTGTGTGTGTGTGTGTGTGTGTGTGTGTGTGTGTGTGTGTGTTGTGTGTGTGTGGTGTGTGTGTGTGTGTGTGTGTGTGTGTTGTGTGTGTGTGTGTGTGTGTGTGTGTGTGTGTGTGTGTGTGTGTGTGTGTGGTGTGTGTGTGTGTGTGTGTGTGTGTGTGTGTGTGTGTGTGTGTGTGTGTGTGTGTGTGTGTGTGTGTGTGTGAGTGTGTGTGTGTGTGTGTGTGTGTGTGTGTGTGTGTGTGTGTGTGTGTGTGTGTGTGTGTGTGTGTGTGTGTGTGTGTGTGTGTGTGTGTGTGTGTGTGTGTGTCTAGGCCTATTGTAATTCCAATTATTCATTATTCACAGGTAGAACACAGAGAGGCAGAGGCAGAAGTTTTATTGCAAAAGTTACATTTCCCTTACATCCTGGGAAATTTGATATATTTTACATTTATTTTATGTTTTTAATTTATTTTGGAAAGTTTTATATATGAAGGAAACAACATCTGAATGTATTCTGCTTTTAAATGCACTTGTTTGATAAAAACACCTTTTTCTCAGTTTTTTGTCCAAAATGTTGTGTTTTTGACAAAACCTACCTCTGTTCAAGAGGCAATAAAAAAAGAACAGATGAAGATAAAATAAAAACGTTTTTTTTGCCTAAAAGCAGAGGCTCAGATCTTTATTTTTATATATATCATCTTCATATATTCATGGAAGAAAATATTCAGCGGGGGCATTCAAATTTAGCGAAAATCGTCAAAAACCCTGGCGGTGGCTGGCAACTTTTTTTAAAAACGCTGGCGGGGAAAGAGTTAAATGCTTTTTATGATTTGATTTTTTATGGTTGGATAAATTGCTGAAGAATTTCTTCATATTGAAAAAATAAATGCTTCATAGAAAAGGAATGGAAAATAAGGCGGCTAAAAAGTGGATAGTGTTTCAGTGCTGCTGATTATCCATACTTATAAAGATAGATTATGGAACTGCTAGGCTATTATTATAAAACTGATTCTGATTATTGAGAGAACAGTAAAAAGTGGTGATCTTTCCGTATTATCTGGTTACGTAACTTTGACCACATTACTCACACCAAAGGCCAGCCCAATAATCAATAGCCCAACCAATCTTAAAGACTCAAGGTCTATTGTAAGCAGAAGTGACTTTGAAAAACAGATTAATAGATCGCACACTGTCATTTAGAAGTCTAGCACTTCCCAAGAGGAAACGTGGCATTGTGCAATTATATTCTTCCTCCTTTCATTATCTCCTGATTTATTTGACAGTTCCTCAGCATTATTAAATGATACATGGGTGGTGTATCATATGAACTCAGTTATATCTGATCAGTGTTGTGGCTAATGTTGATGAATGAAATGAGAGCATGCAATCATCTTTCCTCATCATACTGCAGCTGGAGCCCAAATGGAGCATTTGATGAGCTCTCATCGGCACTAATAAACGTCCGTTTAACAAGCTCTGGGCAAAATTGGGGAAGGCTGCAATTATGAGCACTAAGCAATGACATTTCAGACTGAGTTTAAATGGAGAAATAGTTCAGCCCAGAATGAAATTTCTGTTATTGTTTAATCCCTCTTGTTGTTCAAAACGTAAAGACTGCAATTTTTCATGTAACGCAAAAGTTCTTTTGACTTGTGCACTATAGTGTTTGTCAATTGC